TCCATTTATCCATCGGATATCCAAATCTGAATTTATTCGGATATCCGTTTTACTATTAATATCCGGATAATTATCTGCTTACCCGTCGGATTATCCGGATATCCGAACGATTTGGATTATCCGGATAAACGGATGACGGATTTATTCGGATTGGAACTCTAAATACAAACGGGGTTGTAATTTAATATTTCTCATAAATTCTGAGGTATTGATAAAAAAATCGGTGAATGGACTAGAAAAGCCAGTCTTTGACAGATAGTTTAATTTTTTTTTAAAAAAAAGTGATTAATATTTGCATTACACGAAATTTCAATCCCAGATTTTGATTTATTTATAGATATTGTTATAAATTTTTTATGCGACCAAGGCCACATGTTTTAATTCAATTCGCCAAGTTATCTTCTGATTGTTTGTGATTCTATTTTTAGAGCACTATGTCTTCGAAGAATTGATTTTTCAAATCTAAAAATCTCAATATCTTATTATATAAGTTAATATAAAATAAAAAGTATGCTTGATATAAACAAGAACCAATATTTCAATTTGAATTGGAAATCTTATTATCGACTAAAAAGTGTCAAAGACTGGTTTTCCTAGTCCATTCCCCGTTTGGTCAGCCGAATTCGGTAAACTTTTGATCTCGGGTATGATCAACGATCATACCCGAAATCAAGAATTCGCCGACCAGAATTTATGAGAACAGCTGTAAGAGGTTTATCCGGATCCAAGCTTTAATACTTGAATTCAGTGCATAATTAACTGACATGATTGTAAAGTTTTTTGATTGGCCAATTTTAAATTCATTATTAAAAACAAAGAAAAAAATGCATATAAATCCAGTCAGACCTCCCTAAATGCAGACTGCAGCTGTGATTAAAGAATAGCAACCTTGCAGGGATCGTTATAATCATGTAAGATTAGGATTATTATATTATACCGTATAGTTAAATAAGAACTTGGGCCTCTAATAAAAGTTGTATAGAAAGTTTTTATAATTCTAATGTGTCTTCATGGTTATATATACGTATGTTATCAAGGTGGTAGATCAGCGTTGTTAACTGGAAGCATTGGAAGACCACTGGAACTCCATTGGAAGCAAAATTTAATAGTACCACTGGAACTTTTACTATTAGAAATTTTCACTGGAAGACAAGAAATTCCCACTGGAAGCCAAAATTAACATCACTGTGGTAGATATATATTACGCACTAGATATGTACCATATCAGACCTTCACACTTTACCAAGATTTCATCCCACACCATAAACCCGGATATAAAACACAGTGGATCTACAATCGTATCTGTCTACTAATCAAATGAAAAATTAATAAACGAAGATTTATTTTTGGTTTCTAAACAAATTCTAGAAGAAGCTTCTAACAGCAGAATGCTTCTTTCAAATGAGAATTGCAACTTCTTTGCAGAATTTTTTTACAAATTATTATTTAATCATAATGAAAAAAAAATTTTACCCCATGACAACGTATATAGATAGAAAATTCGGATTTCCCGGGTATTAACTGTATTAAATTACCCAAGCAATACCTACGTACAATTCCTAATGCCGATACCGGTGTTTGGTTCAACCCCAAAATCAACCAATCATGATTGAGAATTATCATTTAAAATTTTCATAATTAAATATACGACATCTATGTATTTAATTACAGAATTATAAGCCAGAGTGTAAGTGAAAAAGGTCAATTTTTTGAACCTTCGCTTCCGTATTTATCCACCAATCGTAAACATCATAAACCCATCGTTCTCATCCTAAAACACCCGAGTATTTCAACAAACAGTAAAAATACTTCTTTCTACAGCTTAGTGAGTGTAGATGTTTTATTGATTTTTATTTGTTTTTTATCTTGTCTAGATGTCTTTTATTAGTTACAACGAGTGCTTTGTTACTTAAGAGCAAATTTTGTGTAACGGTTTATCAAAAAAAGGCCCTAAAACACGTCGATATGCTGTACGTATAAATATTATTTGGCCAATAGAATTTTGCAGCAAATTATACATATATAGGTGCATCTACTAATTTTCACCCATGATTTTTGTTGGTTGACAATTGCCGTTAAATTTTGTGTTTTGAAAGTTCAGAATAAAATATGTATACAAAATTTTGAAAAGTTTGATATTACGTTATACCTGATCTTGTCATGTTATTGGTTGAATAGATAAATAAATGCTCTTGATTGGCCAAAAACTTGAACAATAGGAGCGGTGGAGAGAAACTAACTACACTACAGCAGCGCGTGCCGGCACCTGCTACGTAGTACAATAATAGATACCCAACTTACTAGATCTGTGTTACATCAATCTCGTGTAACATCAGTACCAGAAAAAAAATTTTCAAACAGATCAAAAAAAATTTTTTTTTTGAAAAATTCACCGTACGCAGAAGTTGGTAGAAGTTGCGCCAAATTGGACTTTTTCTCCGAGTTTTACCATTTTTTTTACTTGCATTTAAAATTTTCTATGTATAAGAAAAAGAAAGCTGGTTATCACGGGAAATCAATATTTTCGATATACTAAGTTATTTACGATTTTGACTGTTTTCGCCATTTAAATCTACCCCAAGAGCAAAATATTTTCGACACTCATGTATACGGGCACCATTAAATTCAAACAAGAATTCACTATTATGTGCACTGTCACATTTAAAGCAATTACTGAAAAGAACAAGGTATTTAAAGGATCGGATTTAAATCATACATATAAACCTTGGTTTCAATCTTATCTTTTTTGCCTTTATTATTTTTTGGGGATATGTAAACCATACAGGGCGATAAAACTAAATATAATGAATTGGTAGATGAAATCAGTCGCAATAATTTTCACTATGCCTCAGGTGCTAGAAAGCTACGGTTATGGATAATGACCTTCTCTCGTGCCACTTCATTATTGGATGAATCCTGTGATGCTTTGGTGAATGCTATACTTAAACTTGATTGGGCTGGTCATGATAATAACTTAGTAGTGATATATGTAATGTTCTTGGCTAATTTGATTTCATCGCATTCTGATTATATGCCTAAAGTCCTAGGAATGTTGGTCAATAATTTTACATTTCGTGAGTATTTATTAAGATGTATAATTGTAATGAATTACATTTATGTCTTATTATCTTATTACGATTTCATTTATTTATTTATTTTATTTTTTGTTTTAGGCGTGGATAAAAACGGAATAGTTCCATCAAACCTCGAAAATATACATGGAAAAGTTCATTATGCCTTAAAAAACATTTTTTCAATAGTTCCCAGTGCTGCCGAAGAATTACTTGGAATTTTATCTCGCGGATTTCCTCATAAAAGCGAATCCTTACCTGCTCAGGTCACGTATCTCAAAAATTTATTGCAATTGTTGGAATATATTCCATGCCTTCAAGGTCAAATTTTGGAGTTGATATTTGATCGAATTATTGAACTTGATGTAAGTTTTATTCTAATCTTTTATTAGTCATTTTTAATTTTTTTTCATATTAATTAATAAACATATATTAATGAATCAAGACCGAAGTTCAAGGAAAAATTGATGAAATAGAGGATATGGAAGATGCATCAACCAAATATGAATTAAGTTTACATTCGGACCAAGGTAGCCAGTCAAGCTTCACCTCTTCAATTCATGGAAAATCTCGGTTTAATTCGCCGACCAATTCTTATAACGGTGATTTTGATTACGGTTCTGATGAAGATATTGAAGATTCTGCTCCTTCTATCGTCGCTCTTGATATTGGGGAAATGATCGAAAAATTGGATTGTATGATCAAACTAGTTTTTGATTATCTTAAATGGTTTTTTGATAAAGGATCAAAGGACGAACGAGATGAGTTGTTTGATATTCTTTTGACCATTTTCGAGGAAAATATCTTGTACACCTTCAAATCTCGATATATTCAATTCATAATTTTTTGGTATGTTTCATTGGATAAATCATACCCACGACAATTCCTCTCTCTACTTCTCAATAAGATACTCAGTGACAAAGAGCCTGATATAATAAGAGAAGCTACATCACAATACATAGGTTCATTCGTTGGTCGTGCTAATTATTTAAGTTCTACTGAGATCAGATTATGTATTCAGGCATTATTGTTATGGACGGAGAGATATATTGAGAGTCACGAACCTACTTTACAGTTACCTGATCCGCCAAAACATATGACATTTTATTCAATCGTACAAACGTTGATGTACATTTTTTGTTTCCGGTGGAAAGATCTTCGAGAAGTAACTGGTGGAATTCCTCGTTGGTGTTATGAAGTTGTGGGATATCATAAAGTAATCAACTCCTGGTTTCGACCTCTTCAGGTTTGTATTTTACCATTTAATTTCTTAAAAGATGATAAATACTACTATTACTACTATATCAATCATTAATTTTAATTTACCTTGCTTAGGTATGTTCCAGGACTACGTCCGAAATGTTTCAGGCAATTGTAGAAGCACTTCAATTTATGAACTTTGAAAAGCAATATTCAAAAAGGATCGGCATAATAGAACGAGGAATACTAAACATATCAGAATATTTCCCTTTTGATCCATTTCGATTAAAAACATCACAATCATACATCGATCCAATATATCGAGATTGGGCCGGTATGCCAGATAAGAATCAAGTTGCTATGGAAGAATAAGGTTTCATATGTAATTATAATATTGTGAATTTTAAAAAAAAAAAAAAAAAAGAATTAGATGATAAAAAAAAAACTTCCGTTGAATGAAAAAAAAGGTTAAATATAACAAAAAATTCGGTTGAAAAAAAAAGCTGTTGAAAGAATGGGTAAAAAAAAAAAAAAAAAAGAGAGCACATTCAGTAATTGTAAAAGTTATTTGTACTACTATTTGGAAAATCAATTCAGATGCTTGTATGATTTCTTTACATGAAAAAATGTAATGAATTCATGATTTCACAACTAAATTATAAAAATAAATTAATGTGAAATATCACTTCTAAACACGATTTAATAAGATTTATTACTGATGCGTGATTTAGCAATAAGATTGAACAATTTGGTATCATCCGACTCGTCTTAATGATTAGTCGCATAGTACCCAAATTACTTAAATTTAAAAGATGCTTTTACTTAAATGATTATTACTGTATTAGTACATCGATATTCCGGAAAAAAGTATTGTAGGGAATACAGATGCTGGTAAACTGTTAAGACTTTTGGTAAATGGTGGTAAAACTGGTTAAATTTAACATAGCAGCTGATTAGCTAATACTAAAATTTTAATCTAGTTTGTAAAATTTAAAAATTTTTTTTTTTAGAGTTAGATTAGAATTTAGAGTTAGTATTGTTAATTAAAAAGTATAAGTAAATTTTAGCAAATATTATAAATTTAAATAGAGATTTTAAATTTTAATTAATATAAAATACACCTATAGTGTTAGGAAACTAACACTTATTACGTAAATATAACCCCCTTCAGAGTTAGCCATTTGACAATTACAAGTTTTAAAATAATTATAGTATAAACTTTATTTTATTGTTATTTTAGAGCTTACAATTGTCAAACGATCGAACTTGTAATTGTGTTAAATGACTAACTCTAAGGGGTTATATTTATATAATAAATATTAGCTTCCTTATAGTATTAATAAGCTTTTTGCTAAAATTTAGAGTATAACTACAAAGTAAAATAAGTGTTAGAATTAATATAAGGTTTTTGAAAGTTTAAGGGTAGGGTGTACGTAGATCATTTTTCATATGATCTGCATGGTACATTGAATTTTTACATAGTAAATAAAA